TTTCCTATTTCGAGCCTTAGTTGTCGTAAGAAGCGACTATGTAGCACGACTATGTTATACGTATTTCTCGTAGTAATTTCCGCCAACAGTTGGTGGTACATGGGTGGGATTTCGCTATAGTTGCCATGCTTGGCAGGCGAGTTGGCAACCACTATTTTTCTTTGATTATTTTCGGTGTATAACAAGGAAATGGCTGTAATCCATCATTAAGTATTTTTATTTCATTGTAGAAAGTTGTAAATATATTGCAGCAAAAGGAAGTTTCCTATAAGTTTAAATATATATGTCACAGCCAAAACTCATAACCGGTCAAAACCACTTTTGATTGCAAAAATCAGACAAAACTGGTTTTGATCGAGGCCCTTAGTCAAAAACAGTTTTGGCTGATTTTTTTTTAGTCAAAAGTGGTTTTAACTAATTTTCTAAGTCAAAAGTAGTGTTGTCTCATTTAAACTTCAGACTATCAGTCAATACTCGTTATATCAGTAACAGTAGGTTAAGACGCGGCTGGGGTGGCCCTTGAGCGCCACCCTATAGCCGTGTACATTATAATGATATAAAATATAACATTTTAGAAATTGAACTTTTTAATTTCAGAAATACAAAAAGTATAAGTCAAAAGAAGTTTTGACTAACATTGTTGGTCAAAACCACTTTTAACAGATGTAATTTGGTCAAAATCACTATTACCCAGTATTTTTGCAGTTACAAGTGGATTTGACCAACGGCCTTAGTCAAAACTACTTTTGCCTGATTTTTTACAGTCTAAAGTGGTTTTGATCGGTTATGAGTTATGACTGTAACATAAATATATATCTGAATATTTATGCATGAAGTCAAATAAAAATCGCATAGCATATTGTATTTTATTTGCTAATTTAAATATTGAGTTAATTAAAGCATATAAGTTTAACAATTTTACGAGCAGGTGTGTTTCGATTACATTATAATTATTAACAGGCGCATTACCCCGTTTTACTTCAAATGTATAAAATATAATATTATTAAACTTACCTGTATTTTTTTTTAAATAACATTACCCCCACGTTAAGATTTTCTCCTGTATCATGATGGCAGTTTACATACATAAATTGTGTAAGATAAACATCCAGAGCCGCAACAATTACTTGTAGGCCACCCAAATAATTCGATCCCGCCAAATTTTTATTGCTTTGCATTAGCATCGTATAGAATTAAAATCCATAAACCCACCTCCTTTCCCTGCTTCTAAAAAAACGGTAATTTTATTAAAAATGAGAAAGCTCAGGCACCTAACTTTCTATAGAGGAGGTACAGGTGTTTATGTATTCTCCCTGTGGTATTCAGTTTCCCCATGTAAGTATATTCCTAGCCGAGACAACAATGTATCCCTGTTGCGTTACGTTACTTTAATAGAACTGTATATAGTATTAGTTATAGCCCACACTACAAGACCTGATGCAAAAGTCAGTCCTTGAGGCCGTGGGGACCAGTGATAAGCTTAAAGCATTTAATAATACATTTTATTTTATAGTTGATATATATATACTAAGGTTAGCAATAGTTTATCACTAGCAGAACTGTCCAGTGTTTTACATATAAACTGTCTAAGTAATTTACAACAGTTTCCAGGAGACTATTAGTGCTGCCCCGTATTCACGTCATCATGACAGAGTAGTAGTATTATTTATAATTTTCGTCGAATTTTCTATTAAATACTAAATAAATCAGAGTCGAAAGAGCAGCAAATGAAGAAAATTGTAAAAGAAGAGATATATTGCAGGCCTATCGCGTCTATAATCACAAACCAAAAAAATCCAAAGACATTTAAGTATTAGTAGTAATTGACCGGACATCAGTAGCAAAATTGTCGTCTGTAACTTATGTCCTATAGGATATATCTCCGATTTTTGTAATTTAGTCTTAGTGGCATCGTCAAAAAGTAAAGACGCATTCGTTTCATATATTTAAAAAATATTTTCAAAGAAAATATGCCCGGTTGTGCATTATGATATTGTAAGTCACGATATGGAGCAAAAAATGAACGTGATATTGGTTTATTATCGTAAATATAACATATATTTACCGAATAATCTTGAAATTTTATTATTTCTAGTAGATTGTTCTAGAACATTTATTTTTATTGTAATAAGCGCCCTCTATTATCCAGTAAACGTTACTATTTAGTTACCAATTTTAATTATAAAACGATCATGTATAGTTCCTATTATTATATCGAAAAGCATTTCAAACTTAGTAATCTTCAACAACATTATCGATACTTTGATATCGAAACGGTAACATTCCTAAAACGAGGTTATATTTATTAGCGTCACCTACTAGGGAATAGCTGAAATGTTGTCTTAATAAATGCTTAGCGTTATTTTGCTATTTTTAGCTAGAGGGTGCCACACGCGCACTAGTTCAAAGTTTTTGTATATAAATGTTCCCAATGTCCGCTCTATAGTATACCTATATATTTAGATCTCTTTGCTAATATCCCACTAGTCGTTTTTTAGGACATACTAAGCAAGCAACACAAATTACACATTAGTTTTAGTTATAAGTTCCTCATAAAAATTTGGCCTATGAATGCCAGCCCAACATGGGACTATAAAACATATTAAATGATAAAGTTATAGTACTCGGCCTTTCCCTGATACGTAAAAATCTTAATAATAACAAAATCCGCTGGAGGAGCAACTTTCTACGCTTTTCAAACTGAAGTGGCAAATATCTAGTAACATCTGTCGCAGATATGGCAATGTTTAAATTAGACGTATCATGGAGTGGAGACCACCTTTGCAAATATGTGATATGGGACTGTCCCTAAATAGACGGAGTAACGATTTGTGCAATATCGGATGGTATTAAGTCGCCAACTTTTGTAGAGAAATATGTCAAGCATTAAAATACCGCAAGCTCATAATTATTTTTTGTTTATTTTAAGCCAATAATTGTAAATGGCGTTGAAGCCCTCGATTGTAAATCGCACTTCCTTAGCGTAACAAAAACTGATCACTTTTGTTTAGAGGGCATCCAGATTTAAATTTGTGTAAAAGACAGACACTGACAAATTATTTATTCCTCTCTCTTGCTGTACGCATCATGTTTATTAATGATTAAATGAAAATCTCATTTAAAATATTGCACATTTTTTAAATATTAGGTACAAACTATGTAAATGATCCCATCATCCGTATTCACCTACGGTAATCTTCCTAGTGTTTCTTCGACCTAAATATGAAATGAGTAAATAAATAAAAAAAAAATATGAAAACGGAGCATTAAGTTTATTTTATTTTATGGTAGGTACAATTATTATCTACATAATACATATGTATACAAGCAATTCTAAATATCACAATTTTGAAATTGCAAAATAACTTTCATACACCTTTCTTTACAAACTAACAATTTATGTATTATAATAAATATCTTTTCAGTGATCTTATTGTCGGACTCAACAAATATCAAAAAAAAGTTCAAATAATTATATCAAAAGAAAAATATAATGAATTCCAGAAGTTATTTAAAATTCTAATGAATATGCAAGAAACGTATGTAAAAGATGGTTAAATATAATAAAAAGGTCCTAATATTTAGCTTTTCTAGATAGGAATTTAATTTCTACATAAGAAAAAAAAAACATTTTAAATTATTAAAAAATAATCTTTTCTCAATTCAAATATCATTCGATTTATCAACCTTGGAAGACATTGCACAAATACACAGCACATTATTATAACGTTTAATTGACTCCACTGTTTCTATATAGATTTATGATCACCAATTTTATATTAAGCGTTGAGATTTAATACAAAATAATTTCAAAATAAGATTTGGTTGGGGTATTCATTGGATTTCTCATAAAATATTTAATTTTTTTTAACAAACACCAATTTTATTTGTGTTTGTTACAAATTTTATTTTATACTCGTACCTAAAGAGTATAATCACAAAAAAATTATGTTGGTACAATGAGTTGTTCAAAATCAAAAAAAGTCTGAGCCAGGTCTTTGTACTCTACATTAAAAAGGCACATAGAACAGATAATAACTATACATTTTTTTAAATATCGCGTTTTTTGCTGTTTGAAAGCAAGAATTTACACTTCAAATAGCAATATTTGAACAACACCTAACAAAAATCATCATGGCAATATGTCATTTGATCAGTGATGTCTATTATGATGTTAGAAAGTAGAAATCTAAGTATGCGACGAATGAGACGCTGTATGTCTTACTTAACATCTCATTTGCTAGACTATTAAAATAATGTATGTTTATTTTTATATTAACTGTTCCTTTGATGTTTATTGAAAATAAGACAATAACTTGCTAATTTAAGCATTAATTTATTAAATAAATATTTAAGTCTCGTTTACAGTGGTACCACAAACTGAAAATGATATTGCAATTGATGCTCAAAAATTTTAACCAATTATATGCAGACACAAAAATTCAAATTTTCGTGCATCAATTGTTATTAATAAGTAGATTATTATGGTAAATATAACGCACTAGTCCATAATACGCTACGTAAACCTAATTATAGTTAGTAATCTAATGAATATCATTAAACTATTCCACCTAAAAATGGGTGGTTAAATATATTCCTAGGATTGCATTTATTCTATACCCCTCTATTAAATTATTGATTTTAAAACTCAATAATTTAATAGCTACGGCCTTATATAATTATTTTACATTTATAAACAAACATATAACGTGAGTACATTGGTATAATCCTGTAAGTATTAACAGCATAAATTTAGTCAAATGTTATATAATACCCTTTTTACGTATAAAATTTTTTGAAACAACAGTTCTCATCAAATTTAACTTTACAGTATGTCAAAGATAACAACAATCACATACCTAGTAAATTTTAGTATTGCTAAAATATATCACGTCATGCTTTTCAAAATTTTATTTCGAATAATCGATGGTAACCATTAAAATTTAATTTTATTTACAGTCTGCTACATTATTATTTACAAACCTAGCACCAACAGCTGTTCATTCGTTCTTTTTCTCTTTATTTTTAGCTGCTGCACCGTTTCTTTCGAAAACTCCGTAATTCTTATCAATTATTTGACTATTAGTTACACCATTTATCAATGAATATTCTTGATCACAGCTGCCGTTCTTGATTTCATGTTTCATTGGTTTCCTATCTTCGGGTTTACCATAAGCCTTGTAGTAGAAATCATAGAACAGATAGTAGAAGAAGATGGAATTCGGCAAAGTGAAAACAACGGACCAGCGAGGATATCCACAATCGTAGAATAGCAGTTGAGATGAGTGAATGAAGGTGATACAAAACTGTAGCTGAAAAAATACATTTATATTTATAAAATATATCTACCATACTCAATTGGATAATTTTTATTATAATGCTACATGTAAGTATCTTATTAAAGGAATACTTATGACTTATAATATTTTTATCAATAACTACTATTACTATTATTTATATCAATGCCATCTATTTTAAAATGTTAACAATAACAATGAGACTTTTCTTTGACATCCGCGACTTTTCTGCCATCAGGATGGTACCACTTTGCAATAGGGTAATGAATCACAGAGTAAGTTAATGAATGCAATCTATCAAATATTGAATTTGACAGATTTAATAGCGGGGAAGATAATTTCTTAGGAAAATCTAATAGTCCAGGAGGAATCGACGCATGAGTACCGAAAACTATTCCACCTCAATTTTTTTATGAGATTCTCTTCAAATTGTCCTACTAATAATATTAATGTATGTTGCCATGGGGAAACTGGGTGTCGTATTGTTTAAACCAATTTTGTTTCAATTGCAAGGAATTTATTTTTATTTTTTGGTAACATACAAATAAAAAAAATGCGTGAGTGCCGTGAAGCACTCGGTTAAAACGAAGTTCCTTATCATTGATAAACGTATTATATTATTGATTAACAAATACAAATAAATGTATTACTAGCGTCTATAAAAATGAAGCGTCATTTAAAATAAACTACACTATGACACAATGGGTAGTGACGAAATGATTTTACACTTTTTGTCACCTAGCTCCCATTCTCCAAACCCGTTCGATAAGGAACTTCGTTCCAAAAAGTCCTTCGACTTTTTTCGATACAATTAATATTTTCGGAGTTATGAATTTTTAAAGATTAGAAAAATCCCATATTCGGATACTTTTGACTCATTAAAATTCATAAAAAAGAGTCTGTGTTAGTGTGTGTGTACTTAAGTACGCACGTAGGAAGTTATACTTCTTTAGCGTAACATAACAAAAAAAAAACTTCAGAGACAAGATGACGATTTTGGGTGTCAGTGTCCGCGCGCATCGTAACAACTTCATGCTGTCGTTTTTAAACGTCGGTGTGCGCGCATCGTAAAATTCACTTTCATTATTTTTCCCAAACGCCCTTAAAGAAGTATAACTTCAATAAAAATAATAAAATATAAAAGATATTTTCTTATATTCTTTAATATAATACAAATAAAAAAGATTCCACAACGTTTTACGATAAAGTTAATATTTTCGGAGATATTAAATTTTAAAGGTTTGAAACATCCCGAATTCAGATACTTTTCACTCATTAAAAATATATAATATATACAGACAAAAAATGCCCTATGACTTTTTACGAAAAAGGAAAAGAAAAAGTCTTTATATATTTTTTATGAGTCAAATTCGGGATTTTTCAATATTTAAAAATTTATAACTCCGAAAATATTAACTGTACCGTAAAAAGTTCTAAGACCTTTTTTATTCGTATTTTACCAAAACGTATAAAAATCCCATTTGAAAATAACAATTTCTTGCAATTGAAAAAAGAAATAAGTTTAAGCAATATGGCACCGAGTTGCCCCATGGCAACGTGCTTTTATATCATCAGTAGGAAAATTTGAAAAGAATCGCATAAAAAATAAGGTGGAATAGTTTTCGGTACTCATGCGCCGATTCCTCCTGGACTATAAGGTATATGTTTATTTCTGTACTATTAAATAGTTATATTTTATATTAATTAGATTATAAACGAATAAAACAAACTATAGGTATAACTAAGAGTATGAAAATTTTAATAAGAGTTAACAATTGCAAAAAATGAAAGTTCAAACCCCTAGTTGTGACAAACAGTCACAATTAGTGACATCTGGTGAGTGGAAGATTATTAGTCCTCATTGACTATAAACTTAGAGCTTTAAGGAATCGAAGAGTGTTCGAATTTGACGTAAGAAGTGATTGTGCTTATGCGACATATATACGCTACGAACTATAGTGTGAATATATATTATAATAACCATTTAGAAATAATATAAGTATAATTTTAGTCTAAAATAGATTAAGCTTACCATTTGCAAGGTGGTAATGTGTCGCTTCCAAAACAAGAACTTCTGATACTGTGGGCCCATTGCAGATAACATATAATATGTGTACATGATAATATGGACGAACGAATTGATTACACCGATCAAAGTCCCGTGACCTCCTGGATAATATTTGGTAGCGCCCCATGAGATCATCGGCATAACAGTATGGTGATACATATGCAGAAAGGTGATCTGCTTATTTTTCTTTCTGATAACGAAAAAAACTGTATCGAGAAGCTCTGACATCTTTGCCAGGAAGTAAATATAGACTCCTCTAGCTACCTGAAAATTTGATGAAATCTAGATTAATTGTTGTGTAAAAAAATTATTTCCGTTCCTGGAAATGAAAATAAATGATCGCTAGTACATAAAACGAGATTAATTTCTACAGTCAATGAGGCAAAATACATATTTCTTTTTTTAATTTTTAATAAAATAAAATCTTAATAAAAATAAAATGTTTATATGACGCAAAATAAAAAGTGTGCTGCCATGTCAAAAGATGATCCGATGACAGTTATGTAATGCGTTTAAAGGTTCGAGATGTATAGTACTAGGATCATCGATCTGCCTGCCAAGCGTGTTCCCTGCTGTTCTACTGCTGTACTCCAGGCTCCCTACAACGAGAGAGCCTGGAGTACAGCAGTAGACTTAAACGCGCTAATGATGTTAAAAAATATACCACTAATGCTGTATATTCTGCTGCTTTTTTATAGAAGTTGGGGCAAGCGAACATACGACCCAGCTGATAGTATGTGACTACAGCCGCCCATGAACAACATCAAAACCAGGAGAATTACAGGTGCGTTGCCGGCCTTTCAAAAAGGAGTAAGCTCTTTTCTTGAAGGTCCCTAAGTCGTATCGGTCCGGAAATCGCCGGTGGTAATTTATTCCACAGAGAGGTACGTACGTGGAAGAAAACTCCTAATGAAACGTACAGCGGTAGAGCGCCGTACATCCAGATGATGTAGAAGTAGATGTGAAATTTGCGGCTGGGATTAATCCGAACAATTTTTCAGAGCACTCCGCGTGGTAAAGAAAATGCAACATCTGTTCACAGCGCCAGTGAATCGAGCCGATCGGAGGACTCTAACATCGAAGATTCGAGCTGCTCTGCGCTGGATTCGGTCAAGTGAAAGGAACTGCCACTGAAGAGCCCCAGCCCAGAGATTTGAACAGGTATTGCATGTGATTCCAATACCGGCTGAGGCAACAAGGGGAGTGCCTTGGAACTGATAAGATATGACAAAGGGGTTCTTTTTAGCGGCAAACGTGCAAACTTGTGTCTTCTGAGGAATAAACTGGACTAGATTTAGTCAACCCCAATCCGAGACTTTGTTCAACAAAGACTCGACTTCAGACACAAGTTTGTTCCGTCAGGCCTCCTCGACTTGTGGATGTCCAGAGAGTCCACATCCGGCATGGAGCACTCAAACCGTGGGATGGTTGGCGGTGTGTTGCCCCCGTCATCGAGAGTCGAGTTGGACGCCAAGAAAGAGCCTAGCAGATCGGCTTTTTCCTTTGCGGCATGGCCCGGTGAGTCGTCCTCTCTGTTCAGAAATGGAAGAGGTGGCTGACAGAAGTTCCCTTGGACAGTCTTAACGAGAGACCAGAATGCACGGGTTCTTGAAGGACGGTGAACTAGTTTCTCACCAATTCTGCCTATTTGCTCTGATTGTGTCTTGACAATGATTCTTTTGAAGGAACTGGAGGCGAAATTATACTTCTTTTTAAGAGCGCTGGTGTTTACATCCCGAGACGTTGCTGTTGTATGTGACCCGGTAGCACTCCTGCTTGTAATATGATGCTATTTTACAGGAGCGACTAAACTATGGCTAAGATCTGCCTGCGATGGGTACCACAGAGGAAGGAATAAAAGTTTCATTCGCTGAAGTACCACATCAGCAAAAGAATTAACAACAACGTTAAGATCGTCCGGCGAGAAGCAAACCCAACCGACACCAAGGGTAGGATGCAAAGAAAGACCGCATCCCATCCCAATCGGCCAACCTACAGTGCCAAACACGGCGGTAGCCTGCAGAACACAACCGCGATTTTAGCGTGAGTGGCACCACACTCGGGACTAGACAATGGTCCCAGGAGCCAAGAGAGGTGTCGAACGTCCGTGACCGTCAGGAGAATGTCTAACAGGGACGGTGTATGATGCTCCACATCTGGAATCCACGCAGGTGAAGTAACCAGTTGTGTCCGACCATATGCCAAGGCAAAATCATGAACAAAATCTTCCCGCATGATCAGTTAAACCTATTCAGGTTGGTAGGCGTGAAAATCGCTAAGGATCACGATCTCTGCGGATGGGACCTGTTGTAGCAAGGAACCTGTTGCCATTTTGCCATGGTCGATAAGTCGGTCTGTTACGGCATTACCGCTATGGGACCTACAGAGGCACCCGTAGACGCACGGATGGTTGTCGTTCTCTACGCGTAGCCAAAGTATGGACAGGTCCGAACCTTCAAGACTGCCCAGGCTACCACTCCGTCTCGAGCCGGCCGATACGTGCAACTTCAAAAGCTGCCGCGTGGCTCTACCACTCTTATATAAATAGACCGTCCCCAGCAATACTCAGTATTGCGGGGTTTCTCTGTGCGATAGAATTAAAAACGAGGAAGGTTCTCGAGTGGTCCCCTCACTAGATGGAGTGACGACCTGATAAAACATGAAGAAACTCGTGCTTTGTGGTATTCCTTAGGGGAGGCCTATGTTCAATAGTGGATTTGTGAACGGCTGTAATGATTGCAGTTTTTTATATACCTACTATTTAAAATAATTTAAAATTATGTCATTGCCCGAGTTTTGGTGTATTGGTATTTGCACCTGTGTTTTAATAAATAATATGTTTGTGATTTTTATTTTTAACAGTGACCTTAGCCCAGATTATTCTAAGATAAAGTTGATTTAACTTATTTTGGCTCAGGTGTAGGTTATTGCGTAATATTGTTCAATTCCAATGAAATTTTGATGTCTGTTTTATCGACTCAGGGTCAGCTTAGCATGCCTGTCTGTTTATATACTTATTCCTGTCAATATCATCAAGTTCTAGTCGATGGTTATATCAACGAAACCTTTTATGTCTTATCTAAGAGATTATAGACTAGATTGAGATCGTAAGTACCATATTGCCTCCCGGCAAAAAAAGAGTCATAACAAGTATTAAGTACATTTTGATATTTTAATATTATCTGATAGTATTTTTTGTAATTCGTTAGGCTGTAAATTCATCATTATTGTGTTGTGTTTGACTGCGGAGAGATGGCGCAAAGTTCATTTTTTCACGGAGGCAATTTGCTCAAGCCGTTGGTATGAAGTGCGAACAATGTCACAATTAAGTTTCAACAGATTGGACGTGTGATAAGTGACGTGAAAAGTGTATTATCTCTTACGTGTATTTAAGTGTTTATTTTGCTTATACTATTAAAAAAAAACATTTATTCTATAACACTTACTCTCATCGCTTCAGGTGATCTTGAAAAATCAACTGGCTGACATTTCCAACTGTACGATCTCAACCAACCGGCATCAAGGCCCTGAAAAAATAAGTACATAAGTAAATGAATAGTGACGTTTACTAAAAAAATCGAAAATAGAACTTTTCAGGCATAAAGCAACACGGGATGCCTGTGTTCTATGTTTTCAGACATCTGCGTTGCGGCCAGCGAACGGAAGAAATATTGATTTTACTTTAGCCATAATCGGCAAACGGATATTCTAGATCTATCATAGAACAATCAACATAAAAGCCGCGATATTATAATAATTATGTACACCTTTGAAATCGATTTATAAGAAACGTTTTTGTGTTTTAAATTTTTAAATAAAACTAATTTTTACGGATTTTATGGCGTATATTAACTTATTTTATATTCCCGACGTTTCGGGTGCTTTCCAGCACCCGTGGTCACGGGGGACTGAGGTGTTTGACGTCCTGATGTCATAGTTAGCCCGGCTACCTTCAGTTTTTTAATATTAATTTTTGGTTCGATTTACGCAGAATGAGCTTACAGTATCATGAAGTCTAGCAGTGGTATACTTGGGTTTAGATTTGATTTTATTAATTATGGGATCCCAAGCAGATGGCAGCACCCATCTATCTTCTCTATTGAAATTAGGATATTTTTTAATTTCAATAGCCTCGCGAATCATCATTGGGAGGAATCGGTGTTCTTTTGCGAGGATTTGTGGTCTATCAAATCTAATGTAACGGCGGGGACGATCTTGAACATGTTCACAAACTGCAGAGAACATGTTAAATTTGATCCAAACTGGAATTATTTTTATATCGTTGACAATATTATAATTAGGCCCATTTTCAGCAGTGGACTATAAGAGGCTGTAACGATAACAGATATCCTACAAAAATGACACTCCTCATTTTTTTTACAAAATATTCCCGTCGTTGGGGTGATGTGTCACGACAGGCCATTTGAAGAATAAGGGTGACAAACAAACGCATAGTCTCCCTGATTAAAAATGGATGCTGTGCCTCATAGACATCCAAATCCATCCTCGATATTAAGAATCAATATGCAGAGTCGTTGTCACCTCTGAGAACTAAGATGGAATGCCTCATTTTCAGTATAAAGGGTTTCCGGATCTCTTCACTCAACATACGAAATACAACAGCATTAAGCTGCCATTTTACGCTGGTATTTTTTGAGAACACGTTACATGGTATTTAAATTCTGACCTAAATGAGATGATTACCGTCATCTACCACCTCTCATGACACCCACGGACCAAAATGGAGCGATGAATTCTCTAACACTTTCACGTCACGGCTTACATTTAGGTAAATAACGTATAATTTTTTTTTCATATAAATTACACTGATTGACGTCTATAATAATGTTTAAGTAAAACAAAAGTGACAGGACTACTGTTAGTCTTGTATTTTGGTCAACGTCATTAAAAAAAAAGACGTGAAAGCGTGGAATTTCAAGTGACAATAATACTCATGAACGGAATGTCAGCGCTGACATACAGCACATAAAATACGAAGATATATCACATACACACATAACTTGTGTGTATGTGTGTATGTGATGTGTGTGTGTGAGTGTGTGTGTCTGTGTGTGTGTGTGTGTGTGTGTGTGTGTGTGTGTGTGTGTGTGTGTGTGTGTGTGTGTGCGTGCGTGCGTATGTGTATGCGTGAATGCGTGCTTGCGTGCGTGTCATTTTACTTTCTTCGTCCACCTAGCTGTACTATTATTATTATTTTGTGATTTTTCTAATATCTGTGATATGGATCTCATTTGTTTTCCGAAATAAAGATTTATTATTATTATTATTAATACTTAAAATAAATTCAAGTTTAGTTTCAAGAGTATACTATATCGAATTTATAAAAATTAATGTTTGTTTCTTCGTATTTTATGTGCTGTATGACAGCGCTGACATTCCGTTCATCAGTATTTGTCTTGAAACTTTGTCAAATTATTGCTTTTACTTGCGCGGAGGTTATCGACATAGTACAAGTTTAGTACAGTTTAGTACAGTAGGTGCGCGCGTATCGTACCGACAAATATTCATTAAAGTTATATATCATTACATTTAAATGAATGGGTTATCATTCATAATTAAACAATACAACTATTCCAAATTTAAATCGATATAATTTCCAAAATTATTTCTTCTGCGGCAGTAATGCGCCGGGTACTAGTTAGTAGGATATATGTATATTTTACTATATTTTATATGATTTATATACGGTAATAGAACAATTAGTCCGACGCGTTACCCTAATTCGTGTTGGTGGACTTCACATGCCCTTAAATTATTTACCAATAAAACATATTTTTCAATTTATTAATCATCGACTTTTAAGTTCTACATATACTACTAGATGGTTATGTTGCTGTCTGTCTTAGATCATAACATAATTCTTGCGTTTAAAAAATAGCCTATCTCGACACCCATGCGTCTCTCAAGGCGCCGCCGGACGGAGAAATAAAATTTGATAATATGCAGTATTAATAATAATAATAATAACGTCATAAGGCGTAGGGAAGTGACGACCCCATCGCCCGCTGACGTAACGGTTATGTGACAAAACTGCTACGTCAGCGCAGTCAGTCAGCACCTTGCCAAGAGGTGTTAGCGCCGTGCCTCGGCAAAATTGGAGGTACAAAGGCCCGATTGTGCACATGGCCTCACCATGAAACGGTGCCGGGTCTGGGCGTCTCCCGTTAACTGATGCCCAATTCATGGATGATGGAATTTAGGAATACGCGCAAAGGGCCGCTGCCTGGAGGTCGCCAGGGCGCGTCTGGAGCTGGCGCTGGACGCGGCAGCATGCGAACCGCCAGTCGACCGCGAGGTGCTGCACGACCACCCAGCAGCCCCTCGCATCCATCATCCCCACCAGCTGGCTTGGTGTTGGCAGGGTCTTCGTTGGCCCAGCAATCAGCACCCGCCACTGGTGGAGTACGCCGCATGCGTTGGTCAATGCAAATGAACAAAAATGCATTGCGGGCGTATTTTGGGGCGAAAGGGAGAGAAATTGGAGGTTTTGGGTATCGGGCTAGGATGCACCGACTATTTACTGAGCTGGAGCCATCTATTACCGTTACCGAGCAAAACCTGGCAGACCGAGTTCGGTACATCATGCGCTCAAAAATATTTGATGACGCCGAACTCGAACGGCTACGACGTGAGGCTATTCCTTTGTCGAATGAAAATGCTACGACAGGAGATGCGGTTCTACGAGTTGCAGAGCAACCCGCACATGTAGATGCCGCCGTAGATCTCCTTGTAGTTGACTTTGTAGCGACTTCCCCGTATACCCCTAAGCAAGCGGAATCGGGCTGTCGTGAGGGCTCTCAACCCAATGCTGGTGACCTATTTGGAAGTCAGCCGGGACCTTTGCGAGACGGACTCAATTCTTTTTGGCGCCGCACTGGCAGTTTGCCGTATTATTGGCGCCAAACTTCCCAAGGCTGGACGCGCTACTAGACAAAGTAGCGCCATCCCAGCCTGAAGAAGAAGGATTGAGGACCGTATCGCAAAGGCAAGGGTCCTCATCGGCAGGCTGATAAGCTTCAGGTCGGGCAATAATAGGCCGAGAATTGTGCGCACCGTCAGGATGGCGTTTGCTGGGACAACAAACGCCATCCTGGCGTTACGGGCCTGTGGTCAGAGCCCGTAAACCACAGTGAGGGCCCTTGGACGAAAGTTGTGGCGAGTCAGTGTGCGAATGTTACGCCCATGGACCCCGTCATCATTACGCCGGATGACGTAGCTGAGGCGGTCCGTAGGGCCCCGAACTGGAAAAGTCCGGGACTCGACGGACTGCATCACTACTGGCTGAAGGGGTTCGTGGTGTGTCACGCTGTTCTCGCCCGACAGTTTCAAGAGGCTCTCGACCAAAAGTCGCTCCCGAGCCTCTTCACTACTGGGATCACTCATTTGGTTCCTAAAGACCGAGATTCCACAGACCCGAGCAAATACCGCCCCAAAACGTGTCTACCTACCATATACAAGACACTAACATCCATTTTGAGCGCGAGAATCACTCGTCACCTGAACTCAAATCAGGTGATGTCGCGCGCTCAAAATGGATGTCGGGGCGGCGGTCGTAGAACCAAGGAACCACTCCTCATTGACGCGGTCATTGGCAAGGTGGTTAAACGCAACCGTCGGAACCTCTCCGCCGCCTGGATAGACTACAAAAAGGCATTCGACTCGGTGCCTCATACATGACTGAAGAGAGTCCTCGAGCTGTACAAGGTTGACTGTACAGTTCGAGACTTCCTTGGGCAGTGTATTGGGCAGTGGAGTACGATCCTTTGTCATATAGGCGAGCGGATGACGGCTGCAGAGAACCACATAAGGATAAGAAGGGGTATTTTCCAGGGCGATTGTCTGAGCCCAATCTGGTTCTGCCTCTCTCTGAACCCTCTTAGTACCTTACTGGAGGGTTCCGGGAGGGGATTTCAGCTTCGGAGAGGAGGTACAAAAGTGACCCACCTTTTCTATATGGATGATCTCAAGTTATTCGCCTCCAGTCGCTCTCATCTTATGGAATTGCTAAACATCACTTGTGATTTTAGCAATTCTATTAGAATGGAGCTGGGGACGGATAAGTGTGCGGTCCTCCATGTCGAAAGGGGTAGGGTTGCTAACTCTGAGGGCATAGATTTATCTATGCCCATCAACATAAAGACCCTATCCGAGGCTGAAAAATACTGATACCTGGGTATGTCACAGAACATAGGTATCGATGAGGCGGACATGAAACAGTCAGTTTGCGGTGTGTTTTATGCACGCTTGACAAAAGTGCTTAACAGTCTTTTGTCGGGCGTTAATAAGACACATGCATATAACGGTTGGATCATGCCTGTTCTTATGTATACCTTTGGCATGCTCAGGTGGACTCAGACCGAACTGAACGCTCTGGACAGAAAAGTCCACACTATAATGACGTCCCACAGGATGTATCATCCGAGATCGTCAGTAATGAGGCTGTACTTGCCGCGGAAGCATGGTGGGCGCGGCTTTTTAAGCGCGATTACCATGCATAATCGCGAAGTTTGCAGCCTCCGTAAATACTTTCTGACGAGAGCGGATGATCCATTCTATAGGGACGTTATTTCTTGTGATAAAGGAGTTACCCCTCTATCCTTAGCCAACGAGCTATGGCAAGACCCGGCAGTACAGAGTATTTCCAACCGGGAGACCGTATGGAAGGAGAAGGAGCTCCACGGGAGGTTCTACAAGGCTCTACATGAGCCTTGCATAGACACAGTCGCCTCCCTCCACTGGCTACGTTTTGGTGACCTCTTTGGGGAAACCGAGGGTTTTGTCTGTGCGATACAGGATCAGGTTATTAAGACCAACAATTATCGGAAATATATCCTAAAGGATGGCGCCGTCGACATCTGTCGAGCTTGTCGCCATCCCGGTGAGTCACTTAGGCATGTCATCTCCGGTTGTTCGGCGCTTTCTAACTCTGAGTATTTGCACAGACACAACCTAGTAGCCAGGATTCTACACCAGGAGCTCGCTCTGAAATACGGTCTCGTGGATCGGAAACTGCCATATTATAATTACTTGCCGGAAGCCGTGCTCGAAAATGACTTCGCCAGGCTCTACTGGGACCGGGCCATCATCACGAACAGGACTATTCTTGCGAATAAGCCTGATATTGTGCTGATGGACCGGGCACAGTCAAGGATATTTTTGGTCGACATTACCATTCCTTATGACGAGAACCTCGTGAAAGCCGAAACAGATAAGTTGACAAAATATCTGGACCTGGCTCACGAGGTGACCGACATGTGGGGTGGTCTGCCGGCCGAAATTATTCCTGTGGTCGTCTCTGCGAACGGGTTAATCCCAGTCAGCCTCTCGGGTCATCTGAGGCGACTGGGACTCCGTGACGGATCGCTCCAAGCTCAAATGCAGAAGGCGGTGCTCCTCGATACCGCCCGCATCGTCCGCCGGTTTCTTTCCCTTTCCCCCTAACCCTCGGCCGTTTGGTCTCCCCTGCCGAGGGCTTCCATCTGGTTGGGTTTTTATATATTTATGTATTTTTATGTATTTGTTTTATTTTATTGATATTTATGTACGTTTACCATGATTATTTACAATTATATATTTATATTTCCTAACCAGGTGAGAAAACTTTATAGATACCACATAATAATAATAATTTATTTGATACAGACAACACTGATCCATTACAAAATTAAAATTATTTCTTTTTTATATAATTTTTTATACTAGTATTCTTAAAACTAAACCGTATAATCTATAAACTGCACAAGCTACCGTTAAATTTGATATTTTTTTGCTCTAACTACTGATTACTTTAATTCTTGTACTACTGAAACTTTTTAAGAGTAGTACAACAGAATTTAAATCCTTTTATGAGTTGAACTACTGAGAGATATTAATTAAACTCGTACCATTGATTAAATTTCGTAATAACATAAGACCTAGGTTTATCTAGTTTAGCTCATTCATTTGTTATAGACATATCCGTGGCATTAATTTTAGGATTTAATTTGATCAATTAGTGTCAGATAAACTGTTTGTCTTAGTAATTCAGTCCTAGAAAATATATTATATTATATTCAGTTAAACTACTGTGAAAAAGGTGTCACTAGTTCTATGTTTAGACTTATCAGTTGAACTATTGGGAATTTAGCTTTTCCTAGTTGTCATTGGTTTAATGGTCCAATACTCTCCCATGTCTTTCTTTAGGAATCGTAATCGTAAATGTCGTAAAATAAGAAGAAGAGATAGACAACGGATTAGGTAATCAACTTACACGTCAAAATATAAAAAAACCCTAACATAAAGAAGTTTGGTACTAAAATCTATTATAAAATAGTAGCAATTATGACGTTTTGTCCCAAACACCGAGAAAGAGGAAGAAAAAGAAGACAATAGTTAAAAACAAGATTAAATTTACCCGAACACGTGGCTTAATAATAACATTTAAAACGAAATATTGATAAACAAACCTCGTAAAACAACCAACAGCTAACTATAATTTGTATGAAATTATATATTATCAAAGTCTTCTGCAATTGAAAGGGTTTCTTGTCTGCCATGAAGCGTGGCCCCCAGTTTAACGTGAAGTACAAGTACAGTCCGAGAATTGTCAAACCCGGTACTGGACTTGTGATGAGAAACCAGTCGTTCGTTCGAGGATCTGAAACACAAATTTTATTAATTAATTTTTATCCAAATTTTTCCTGAGTCCGGGATCAATGAGTAGCTAAAGACATTAAGTTCGTTTCTTGTCAACTGTTAATACATAAACAAAGTTTAGTATTAACAGTTGACAAGAAGTAAGTAGTTTAATAAAGTTTAACAAACTTATTAAACTATTAAAAGAAATTGGCCGTGGAGCGGGGGAGTAAGGATATCCACTACCCCGTGAGTGTCGTAAAAGGCGACAGAGGAAAAGAAACCAGGAGAAAGACAGCAGTGTCTCCTTAAAGATAAAAACTGCGCTTGCCAAGCGTGGCAACTATGGTAACCATCCACCGTATGGGGCAATCTATGTGGAGGCCTATGTTCAGCAGTGAAGTTTGATAAGCTGTAATGAATAAGTGTATGAATATGAATTAAAAGAAAAGCATATTGTACCGTCAAGGGGTACTTAGAAATTAAAGCATTTTAGTTGTCAGCCTCTCCCTCTTTTTAATAGAATAAGAGTGACGAAGGAGCATACAGTCTACCTGATGGTAAGTGGATACTGTGGCCCATAGACATCTACATTTATTCTCGATTAAGAATCAATATGTAGATGAGATGTCACCCCTAAGAACTAACATGGAATGCCTCGTATCCAGTAAAATGGGTCTTCAGTTCTTTCTCAATTGCTATGCCCGAAAAGGTACATGCACCATTTCGGCATAGACCACTAGGTACACACCATTAGGTACTATCACCTGCTTGGGTGCCTGCAATTAATAAAATTAAAACTAAACCTAAGTATACCACTTAAAGATTTCAAGATAAAGTAAGCTCATTCTGCGTATATCGGACCAAAATTAGTAATTAAAAAAGCTGAAAGTACTCCGGGTTAACTTTGATATTTAGACGTCAAACACTAAAGCCCACTCGTGGATGCTGCAAAGCACCCGAAACGTCGAGAATTGTTATAAAAGTAAAATTAAACCTGATAAAATCCGTAAATAGTTTTAATCCTTAAGATCTTATAAAAATGATATTTAATGATTTAAAATAATAAGTTTTATATAAGATATTTTGTGATAAAAATATTGAAAAATGTATCTATTGTTCATCGTTTTATTCTTCGTATCATTTATTATAAACAATGACTGAGTCAATCAATGCATCTGTAAAATTCAATAAAAAAGATTTTTTCAATTAAGGTTTACAAATTTCCTTGTAATTTACAAAGTACTTAATGTATTATAAGCTTATGTAAGTACTTAATTTATTATATGAAGTGTGTCAATGTGTTTAAAGATAAGGTTATCTAATAAACCGTAATTTTCTACTTTTGCAATACTAAAAAAGAAAGTTAAAGTTTTACTTGAACTTACAGATAAACATCAACATCTAATGTTAAACGGTCACACAAATAGCTGTCCGAAAAACAATGACAAGCATTTGCAGATTTTTGCATAAAAATCAAGATATTAGTTTGTGTACGGTAATTTCAAAAATTATTAGAGAGTGCAATTGAGGTAATAAAGGCTAATGAAAACCTAATCAGGCACACACTCGCACACATGCACGCAAGCACGCAGACACATACATATGAATGCACACATGCACATGCGTATGCAAACAAACGTACACACACACACACACACACACGCGCGCGCGCGCGCACGCACACACACACGCACGCACACACACACACACACACACACACACACACACACACACACACACACACACACACACATACACACACACACACACACACACATACACACACACACACACACACACACACACACACACACACACACACCAGAACAAAAGTTGTATTTTACACGTGGTAATTTCAAGCTGCTACTACGTTATTATGGCTGCAGCACGTCTTTATTTTTGTTGTGTTTTTATTACTGCTTGCCAAACAATAAAACATATCTCGAAACATATAAAGAAGTAGGGACCCTTTGAAGTGGTTTGTGCCTAAGTAAAAACTACATTTGGGGGCACGGTAGTGCCCCCGCCAAGTCGAGCAAAAAAGCGGCACGGCCGTACCATCCTTTTCTCTAAGCAGTTCAGGCCATTTTCAAAACCCTATAACGTCGTAGTGGATAAAACTAGAAGCCTGAATTTTCAGTAACCAAGTAGACATTGTAGAATCTTATTGTTTCAAATTTTATTAAATTTAAATCAGTAGTTTAAGAATTATAACTAGTCAAAGTTTCTTAATGTTGTCACTCACTGACTGACCGATCATCAAAACTCTTCTTCTAGCAGACACAGAAGCTTCAAATTTGGAATAAAACTATTGTTTAGTATATAAATTAAGGAAAAATATTTTGCAATTTCGGTCCAGTTTTCGAGATACACCAACTGCATAAATAACTTTGTAATCCCATATAAACATATAGGATTACAAAGTTACATTTGCATTGAATGAATCAGTGTACCTATATATGTGTAATATAATGGAATAATAGGTGTAGATAGGTACCTAGATATAAATATCTATAAAAAGAAATGAGATGCCATCAAAAACATAACTTGTAATAAAACCAAGTCTCGCAACTCAGTTTTTCTAGAAGAACTGAGTTGCGAGACATGTTTTTTTACAAGTTATGTTTTTGATGGCATAGAATAGAATAGAATTATTTTTATTCAATATTGATTATTACATAATACTTATTGAAAGTCGTTTTTTATTTACCACTGATTCGGAAAATACCTCTGTCCTGGGAAGAACCAGTAAGAAACCCAGCGGGACTTTTTTTTAAACATATTTCACTTAACAATAATTTTGTTTATACAAATTTTAAATGAATTTTCATAGAACCAGCGTGGTGGCGATCACCTTATTCCCAGGGGTTATTTTCATTCATGTATTCCTTAATATTATAATAACCCTTGTTTTACAGTTTTTCTTTAATAATACTTTTAAACTTGTTTATTGACAAACTTTGACCATGTTCTGGGATTTTGTTGTAAAGCGTATACATTGCACCATAAATGAATTATTGCCTCTGTGGTGTCTAGTAACTGGCATTATAAGCTTATGTTTGTTCCTAGTATTTCAAATATGAACATCCTTATTCTTATTAAAGCTATGATAAGCATCCATAAAAATACAATATACAAGGCATAACTATGTCTTGTAATCATTTATTTTTTAAAGATAGCAATAAAATTATTTAATAGAATTCCCAATTACATAAAGCTATTATTATCATTGAAAACATTAAAAACAGACTATTATTTATTTATTTGGTTTGGGTAACTGCTTTTATTTGATAAATTATTTTTTTATCACAATTAATATGTCACAAATACAAAATTAAAATTATTACCATAATTAGATTTAAATTGGTTATTGTCATTTTATTTATAACTTTTTAAAAAAGTAGACATTAAAATTAACATTGACGTTCAAATAATACGATTATTAATATTCTGCTTAATCCCTTTCATTCATTAATTTTTTATAATAACTTATCTCTGTTTAAATTTATTTAATTATTTATTTATTTTATAAATATTTAATAAAATTATTGACATTTGTAATTGACATTGTTATTGAAGTTATATTACGATTAATATATAATATATACTAATGTAGGCAAATTATTTAATTTATTCATCATTTTGATTAATTTTACTAATGTTATTAATGGATAATGTTAGTAAAGGAGGCGAGAGGTTTGTCAGGATCGTACCAAATGGAAGTCCGTAGTCTGTGCCTACCCCTCTGGGTGACAGACGTGAGTTTATTAATTCATATCATTGTATCAATTTTGTAATTTTAAGAACTTTTTTTGCTAAATATTTGTTTTTTAAGAAAATAATATCTGTAATACTTTTTTATGTTATTATGGTTTTGTTAAATATTTTCTTTGGTTATAAATAAGAAGGAAAAATGCTTGATTAATAATTTTAGAAATTTCCGAACTTAGCTAAATATATAATATAAAAGTATGATGATGTGTCATAATTTGAGATAACATATATACATATTTTTCCTCGCAATCATATTAAGGATTTTTTTTAATTATATAAAATGTAGTGTAATGGACTAATTTTTTAATTAATATTTCTACGACCATTATTGCAAAGTATGTTGAAAAATTTTAAAGTGAGAATTTCTTTATAGTAGGTACAAACAAATAATTTTTTATATATTTCATAATTAATGTTATTTAATTATTATTATGACTATACACGTAATCCACAAAATTTATGAAAATCTAAGCATTTCTCACTAATAATTTGTTACAATACTGATAATTACGAAGGCAACACGAGTATTAATTTTATTTCAATCAAATAACATTCAAGCGTATTTATTTTAAAACGTACTTAAGAATAAGATTAGCGAGAACATGCGGCTGATTATTAGGTACACGGCGCTCCGAAGCTTAAGTAACTGAAGTGAAAGTAAATATAGCCTTAAATGGCTACTCTTGTAAAATATGAATGACCGCGTGTTAAGCGTTGCTGCCTTAAAACGTCAACTGATAAACTCACTTTTGATCATTCAAGTCATATGGTCTACGTACACAGTAAACTACAACGTGTGTAATGCTGTGATGTTTTAAATCTTGATTAAAAAATTAAAGTAAAGGTACAGCCTATATTAATCTCATTGTTGGGTACCGGTTTTCTCTTATTTTGAGAGTTATGGAGCAATGAGTCCGCAGGCCGCTGTTCTCTAGTGCGTGTTAGCGGATCATGTTTTCGAAATATTTTTACTCCTGAGTCACGCGGAATTCCTCAAGATGTTTTTCTTTACCACGGACCATGTTTTCTAAATATTTTCACTACTCAGTCATGCGGATTTCCCCAAGATGTTTTTCTTTACCGCAGATCATGTGGTAAAGGAAAACGTAAGCACTTAAAACTTGCAATTAACAATTTTATTGGTGCTGGTACGGAGCTTGCTCACGTACTGTGAGATTTACGGTGAACGCTTAGCTTAACCTACTTGTCTTTATCTTGATGTTTTAATGTCTTGATTATATCTTGACTTTTATATTCCACCTAGTTGCCTTTGACGTCGGGTTTTTTAACAATATTAGAGTGATAAACGACCTGATAGTAAGTAGCTACTGTAGTCCATGGACACTTCCATCCGAATTTAAAAGGCCACCTCTAAGAACTAAAACGACATGCCTCATAGAATGTATTTTAGGTACCACCAGATAGTATTAAAGTTAATTACTGGCTTTTATTAATATTAAAAAAAGTAATCCCTACCCCAAAAGGAATCAACTATAGTCCTTTTCTACCGATTTCAAAAAGGAGGAGGTACTCAATTCGACTGTATGTTTTTTTATGTGTGGTACCTCCTAAGTGTTTTTGAGTGCAACAATTTTAATAATTCTTTTTTTATTTGAAAGCTGGTGCTTCTCGTGTGGTCCCATATAAAAATTTGATTAAGGTCTGACCAATAGTTTTTGCGTTATTCTTAATAATTTGTATTGAAGTCGGTCGGCAGTGGTGTGTTTTTCCTAGTATAGTGGTGTTGGAAGTAGTGGTGCTGGGATTAGTGGTGCGGGGATAGTGCACGCAATTGAGTCAGGGCGGGAGGTGCTCTTCATACTAGGTAAGACACATCATTTTATTGTATAGAGCGGATGTTTGCGAAGTAACCTTTTTAAAAGGTTTTATATCATGTGACGTGTAAGTTTATTCGACACTTTAGTTAAAATAAATCGACCCATATTCGATGAAAACTTTTGCGAGGTGATCCTGGAAGCCGTTTTATATTATTATAAGAACCTACACACCCATATCTACGGTGACGGTTTTCCTTTTCGCATGCTCGGTGTATGTAACAGCGTCACGAATCACGTTCTCAAGGAACACCTTGAGTACAGCGCGTGTCTCTTCGTAGATTAACCTGGAGATACGTTTCACACCGCCCCTGCGTGCGAGACGTCTGATAGCCGGTTTGGATGTTATCACGAAGAACTTTTCTGTGCCGCTTCGCTCCACCTTTCCCCAATCCTTTACCACCTTTACCGCGACCGGTCATTTTTATTTTGAAAATAAATCTATTGTTTTTACGCACATATTATGTTGGCTTCGTCTGGGGTCCCTTTTTATAGACGACACGATATGGATAAGCTGATGGAAAGTTACTACCGTCACCCATGAATTGTTGCAACACTAGGGAAATCGAAGGTACGTTAATGCCGGACTTTAAAAAAGTATACTAGGCTCTTTTCATGCAAGTCCATGATCATCATACCCCAAAAACGTGCGAGGAAAAAATTGCATACGGTTTTATTGCATTTAGTTACTCTTACTATTGACTACTAGTAAGAAGACGAAACATGTCAGCTGTTCTCCAAATATCAACCTCACCTGTTGGTAAAAATGTACTCCAACAACCGATCGATGGTGGAAATTCCATTCAAAAACACTGTACCTGGTAATACTGACCACAGTTACCATTGCGTGAATTCTGCATAGAATGGTAATGGTAATCCGCATCAACGTCAAAGTTTAATGTAATAATCTTCAGAGGTACAAATTGCATTTATTTTTAAAAAAAAATCCAAAAAAATGTCAAATAGATTGCTTATTTTTGCTTTAAATTACTTCTGAGTAAATCTTACCGGCCAGTTCTACAAATAGCCGATTGTAGGTCTGCGAAATGGTGCTATTTGACAGTGCCATTTTTGCCGTATCCGGTTCAGGTCGCGTGTTCAATTTCTATCATAAAGGGCTCCCCCGCATTGGTGAGAACCTTTTCGGTGATACCTGAAAAATAAAAATAAAATTGTTGAGTATCAAAGCAATAACACATGAATGTTTTTAACCTGAGGTTTAACCAGGGATTGCACCGTACCAACAGAATGTCAAACAGTGCTACGTTTGGTATCACTATTTGACTTTCTGTTATATCCACTCCAATCGTGTCTATTAAGGCAAATCCGCCCTACAGTAGGAGGACTTTTACGGGCTCGGGAATATTACGTACTTATATTGCTATTTGTGTTAGAATTCTGTGAGTGAGCTACGGCTAAATTAGGGTCTCCATACTTTTTGTTTTATACCGGTAAATGCCTACACATACCCGCCTAGCGGCGGCATCGAGTTATGTCGGACTAGCACCGACTTAAATCCCATGGAGTTTCACCTACGCTGCACACTGTCTGAATGAATGATTTCGCATACATCTGCGGCCTCACCGTCACCGGCCACACCATGGCCATGGCAGCCCCTTCTTGGGAGAAAACAACTCCTCCCCCTTCCCATTCTTAGGTAAGGCACACCAGAACCACAAGGCGCACCTTCCTCCGAGACCTCTAATTCCAGGAGCTGCACAATCCAAGCAACCCAAGCTAGATACCACTGAGATTTTGCACGTGATCGGCGGTGAATGCCATGTTGCAAAGAAATTTATATAATATTTATTTTATTTATTCGTTATTGCATTCCATAAAACAAAAGAATACAAATGGCGGATTTAATGCAAAATAAAATTCAGTTTTTACCCACTCACAGACGTCTAAATACTCTTACTCATTATGCAGACATATTATGAAGAAACGATGAAAGTAAAATAATTTGATGACCATGACCTAGTATTGTCATTAAGATCATCACAGCTCATGATCAAAGCGTGTTGTTAAAGTTTTATCTAACTCTAATATTATATTATTTCCAAGACACACAGGTCCTACCGCCTAGTAAATGATGAGCCTATTAGGGTGATGTAGTCCTTAGTAAACAAAGGTATGCAATTTTTTTTATAGAAGAGCGGGCAAACGCTCAACTGCCGTTCAACTAATGGTAGTAGTAATTTTTTTTATAGGATAGGGTGACAAACGAGCACACAGTCCACCTGATTGTAAGTGGTTGCTGTGGCCCATAGACATCTACATTTATCCTCGTTTGCGAATCAAATTGCACATGCGTTGTCACCCGTGAAGACTAAGATGGAATGCCTCTTTTCCAGTAAAATGAGTCTCCGGTTCTCTACACTCACCATACGAAACACAACAGTGTTAAGCTGCTATTTTACGCTGGTGTTCTGTGAGAGCGTCCTTCCCCGGTCGAGCCGACCCATTCGTGCTACAACTATACTACTAATATAGCTGCAGCATGACTCTACCACGTAATTGTTGACCGCCGTCCATGATGTAGTGGAAAAGACGGTTTTTGTTTAGAATAGAATATTTTTTATTCAATATACATTACATGTGTAATTCTTATTGAAAGTCATTTTTTACTTTACCACTGGTTCGAAAAAAAACCCTCTGTCCTGGGAAGAACCAGCAAGAATCCCAGCGGGACTATTTTTTTAAAATAAATTTTACAATATTAATTATTACGAACTATTTACAAAATTTATTTTAGAAACTGCTTGGAAGCGACCACCTCATTCCCAGGGGTTATTATCAACCATGTATTCATTTATACTATAATAACCCTTTTTATACAGTTTCAGCTTAATAAAACATTTAAACTTGGTAATAGAGAGAACCTGTACACTTTCCGGGATCTTGTTGTAATAGCGTATACATTGCCCCAAGAATGAATTACTGACTCTGTGGAGTCGAGAAACTGGCATCACTAGCTTGTGTTTGTTCCTAGTATTTACAGAATGTATATCACTTTTTTTACTAAAACTATCTTTGTTTTTATGAACATACATAAAATTTTCGTAAATATACTGAGAGGCCAAAGTTAATATATTAATATCCTAAATTTATCTCTAAGAGACTCTCTCGGTTTTAGATTGTAAATAGCTCTAATGGCTCTCTTCTGTAAAACAAAAATAGTTTCTGAATCAGCCGCATTTCCCCATAGCAAAATTCCATAAGACATTATGCTATGGAAATAACTAAAATAAACTAATCTAGCTGTCTCGACACTAGTGAGACCTCTAATCTTTTTTACAGCATAGGCTGCAGAACTTAGTCTGCTTGCTAATTTGGATATATGGGGGCCCCACTGGAGCTTTGCGTCAAGAGTGATGCCAAGAAAAACAGTGGACACAACAGGGCTCAATTCCTCCCCATTTAATTACACATTGGTATTCAGATTTTTAACATTCGTTGTTGTAAATTTAACACAATTAGTTTTATTTCCGTTCAAATGCAGATTATTAACGTTAAACCAATGCACTAATTTTGATATAGCATTATTCACTTCGTCACATTTAAATGATTGACGTTTAAGTTTAAAAATCAAGGAAGTATCATCAGCAAATAATACTATATCATGACTATCCCCTACAAGGTGAGGTAAGTCATTAATATACACCAGAAACAGGAATGGGCCGAGAATCGAGCCCTGAGGAACACCCATTAGTACAGGTGACCCGGAAGAACTTTTACCATTGATAATAACCTTCTGTTTTCTATTACTTAAATATGAAATAATAAGTTTAAGCGCTGTGTTCTTGACACCATAGTACTGTAGCTTCCTGATTAATGTCTCATGGTGAACACAGTCGAAGGCCTTGGAAAGGTCACAAAATATACCCAAAGCATCCTCTGAATTCTCCCATGCACAAAAAATATGTTTAATAAGCTCAACTCCAGCGTCAGTTGTCGAGCGACCCCTTGTAAAACCGAATTGATTTTTATGTAGCAATTTATTAATATTAAAGAAACTTAACATCTGATCTAAAATAATTTTTTCAAAAATTTTACTTAATGTTGGTAGTACAGAAATTGGTCTAAAATTGGCTTTGATAATTTTATTGATTGATTATAAAGCTACATATTTTAACTGAAACGTGTTACTACGTCACTAGCTGTATTGCGACTGCAGCATGAATTGTTTGCCTTGACTAGAGAGGGACCCCGCTCTAACAGGACAGGAACCTTAAAAGCTGCTTTGTATAATTTTATTGTTAAAAATGTAAAATAATGTGCAAAGATCCAATTAAAATAAAATAGTGTGTATAAACTAGCTTAAAATTTATTTTTGACTCCTGTGTAACGTCTGATTTTATAAATAATTGTTTCAAGAGAATGCCATGAATGAGTAAAGTGAAGAGAACCAGAGTACCTTATACAAGTAATGAGGTATTCCATCTTGTCAGGCTCAACAACGCATCTTTACTTTTTGATACTCAATTCTTAATAGATGTATATTATTTGTATTTATATGCCCCACCATCAACAACCTATATATAGATATAAAAATCAGTATGAAATTAGATATTTTCATTACCATCGTGTAGTTTTCATATCTAAAGAGGAAGCATTAAAACTACATTCGAAAAATTGGACGAAGTATTGCGTATAATTTTTATGATAAATGTGGAAAAATCCCATCAGATTAACTGTTCCATTTAGTTACTACTTAACAGTTTGCGAAACCAGTAACAGATTATTCAACGAGTGGAACCAATTTAACTTACGTGAAAGGCCAAACGCGGATGCCAGCCTCACGCCATTCTCTGTAATAACCCCTACTTATACTATATTCATAAAACATTAAACACAGGATATTGTGGAACAGGATCCAAGAAAAACTTTCTAAATAGTAAATTAAAGTTACAGCGTTTATATATTCTCGTTGCTGGGCGCAGGCAGCCTCTCATATCTAAGAGGGTTTTAGGGCAAGGAAATGTCCGCCGCGCCACCCCAATGCGTGTAGTATGGACTGTCTTCAAACTTTTTTTAAATTTCTCAGACATGCAGGTTTCCGCACGGTAACTTTTTTTCACTGCCAAGCACGCGATAAATAAACAAAAAAAAATTGTAATACTGCAATTAATATTGGTGCCGGCAGGGATTAAGCCCAGATCGCTCGCGTACTGTAAAATTTACAGCAAGCACTTAGTCCTTTAGCCACTGCTTCAAAAATAGATACGATCGTCTTCGAAAATATTTACTACTAAATATTCATAAAATTTAGTCTTCCCTCCCTGAGGGTCGATATACACGATCTGTAGTTAAACAAAGGCCAGGATATAAAAGCGTCTGTACATACCTTTGACGCCATTCTTTCAGCGTTTCAAATTTGACAAGGCCTTCTTACTATATGTAATGTTAAACAAGGTACTGAAGATTTGTGGCAATGAATATGTAGCATATATTGTAATTAAAATAACGTTCTTAATCGGGGAAATGGTGATCAGTTCATATCAGAAAACATCACGTCAATAGCCCGCTTAAGTCTACTACCGTACTAGCGGACATTGACCTTTCCAATAATGCGGTAATGGGTATGTATTATATAAAAGGAGTGCAAGAATTGATTTGCTACAGAGCCAAAAAACTAAGGGTAAGCTAGTGGGCCAGATTCGAAATCAATTTACGCAAACAGATATAGAAAAAGGAATATTTAATAAGAAACTACGGACCGGCCAGCGTGAGTTAAGAAGCACGTAATTTTAAACGCATTTACCGTCACCTTGTCCTATGAGTAGGTAATGAAAATCTTAATTATTTAGTCATAGGACCATAGATGAATGATAAGTCAGAGTGCGCGATGACTTATCATTAATCTATGCATAGGACATTGGCAGGCAGTGCACACATTGTAACATTTGAATGCAATCTTAATCTAGGGACTCTTCTGATGTTTGATGTGTGCATCCTCATAGGTGACAGAGCATTACATAATATTATAAAATTATAACAAAGCAAAGCAAAAAATAATACCTAAAGATTATAATCGTTATATATAACGATTATATGTTTATATAACCA